ATATAGAAACAAAATAAATAATACATATTAATTGCCACTGTTGTCAGTTGTCGTTTAAGATTGTTTAAAAATATTAAATCCTACGTCAAAAATAATGAAAATKTATTTGATATTGGTTTCGATTAGCTTGGGAAACGATCWAATATTATTTTAGATTTTATAGTTACACGCCAATATACTCAATAAATGGCAACGTTGCACGATTTTCACCTGATCTGAATTGGGCGCATATGGGCTATGATTTGGGGCGCAAATGGGCTACGATAAATGGGTTCGGGCGCAAATGGGTTGCGCCGCTTCGAGATRACGAAGTGCACCATACCGCAATAATTTATTTTTACCTATCTATATACGTCTAGAAGAGGAAAAATTGATTTTATAAATGAATTTTCTTTGATAATATAATAGATGAAAGTATATATCTATAAATAAAAGAAAATTAATTTACATAAGTATTTTTAAATAAAATAACTACTTTTACGAACATTTTACAAAAATTTTACACCCGTGCGGCCATAAATGATGTTTTATCAAATTTAATAATAATAAAAAAAACTAACGAAGACTAATACAAATTTAATAATAATCCAAACTGAATTAATTCCTGAAAATGCCTGCAGTGAACATGATTAATTTCAACCTCAGCTCCGCTCATGAAATATATTATTTTAAATATAATTTGTTTATATTTATAAATATTTGTTCACAGTTTAATTTAAAAATATTAATAATACTATAGTTATAATTTATAACATAATATTCAGTGTGATCAAGATATTAGTTACCACTTAATATCTCACCCGGTAGATCTTGTATTGAAATAGGGTTGTCGGGAGGTGATAGAGTGTATTTAAATACATATTGTCAGACCAATTTCAGATTTTTGACTACATTTTTGAGACGATTGGAATCATGTTTAAAACATGATGGCAAAACTTCAAACAATTCATACGATAAATTTATTTAATACATTTTATTTTATTTTTTTTTTTTTTTGCACGAATTATGCATAAATCCAAATGTTGACCTACTCTAAAAAATACTGCACAAAAACCTGCAGAATAAATGAGTGTTGCCATTAAAAAAAAAGTAATTTGTATTGCACACATACGCGTACCGAGGGCTAAAAAAATTGAAATTGATCGGAAAATATGTATTTAAACACACTCTATCACCTCCCGAAAACCCTATTTCAATACAAGATCTACCGGCTGAGATATTAAGTGGTAACTAATATCGAGATCATACTGTATATTAACTTAACCAACATAGCGTTGTGTATACTTTATTACCTTATATTAATATATGTAAACATATATAAGAGTTATAAAAATTTTAAGATTTGTTACCAAGTCCTTAAGAGCCAGAAAAAATCTCAAGTTATATTGGTATTTAGTAGTATAAATATTGTTATTATTATAATCCCCTGTTAAACATTCAGTATAAATATTATGTGAGATTTTATTGTCAAACATAAAGAATATAACGTTTTATATGATTGTCTTACTACTCTTACTCTTACAGTTTTTAAAAATATGTTAATATTAAACGAGTAATAAGCATTTTTAAATAATACATACTCAAATGGAAATTAAAAAACCATTATAATGTTGATCAAATACAATAAATGCTCTGACCTATAAGTTTAATGAAAGGTAAACTCAATTTAATATTAGTGCTAACGACATGAAATTGGTTCTACTTCTACTGAGTGCAAATTTTTAAGACGGTATCACTACACATCATACAACTGTTTTCTTAATCAACGACATGTATTAAAAATTAAAGGTCCCTAAAATTATTACTTTAATTTTTACAAACATAATCTTTACTTACGTATACAGACTATAAAAATTTACATAGATATTATTAAAAAGTAAATTATAGTAGAATCCTGGAGAACAAAATATTATATAATATGAATTCAGCTTGGCTTTTCAGTAGCGATCAGGATTTTACACTAATATATATAAATAACTAACATGATTTCATAAAAATAAAAAGCGATTTTGATTAGGAGCGGCTAACAAAGAGAATAGAGATGGGAAATGAGTATGAGAATACARTAAATTCAAACAATATTTGGCAAGACCATATTTCCGGTATCATGAACAATTTTTAACGGTGGTTCGGTAGGTTTTAGACGTGTATAAGCAACATTAAGTTTTTATAGCTACTAGTATTTGATAGGATCAAAGTATATATATATCACTTATAGTTTCAAAATAATACATACCATACCCATAAMAAAATGTGTAGATAAACTAGGTACATAAAATAGATAAATTTAAGCTAGAACAAATATAAGTATTAAACTACCTACCGTAGTTATATTAATTTAAATTAATTTAAATTTAACTGCAAACAAACACACTTTAAATATCATCAATGCTTTAAGATGAGATATTTTTAATTAAATAATTTTCAAAAATATAAATTACTGAAATGTATTATTTTGAATTTCTTATAGATACACAAAACACTCTGTTAGCATAATTAAACACTATTGTACATAGCCCTTCGTACAATTCATGTTATCGATAGGAATTGTGGTTGATTACACATCAGTCGTCACACACTAATGAATTATGAATCTAACGAATCCATTTTATTTCATAGCTTATTTTTATTTTAGGTACCTACACAAAAGTAAGAGTTATAAAAAAATAAAACGTTAAACTTAAATTTAGATAAAAATAATGAATCAAAACTATATTTAACGCTAAAATTAATAATTATTAAATATCAATCAAACAAAAACTCACAACGCTGTTAGTTATGGCTGGTGTATTAATATCAAAACACTCTTGGTTAAGGCAAGCAGTACTGATGTCAATGGTCAAGTTTTCACCATAACCATTTGATTCGGTTTTTTTAATATCTGATTCCACAATATCATCAACCGTGGTCCATGTATMAAATACCAATTCAGTTACATTATCTGTCTCGTCAATCGGTAGGGGTCTAGAAAAAATACGAGGTTCCTCTAATTCTACATGAGAAGGATCCTGGACCACAAGCTCTTTCGTTTTACCATCTTCTTCGAAACCACTACTTATAGTGTCAGATAATGGACCATCATTATCAATATCTTGTTCAAGTTCCAAAACGATTTCAGAACCGAGACCCGTATCACTAGTCTCTTCTGTATGTTGTTTTTCGGTCAACAGAAAAAGCTCACTCGTGTCTTTTTGGACTTGGTATTCGTTCGATTTTAAGGACTTGAGGTCTACGTATTCTACGTCATTTAACTGTTCAACACTGTCACTATGTATTGATTCTGCAGTTAGCATTATGTCTACACTGCATTTAACACGACTGGCTGGAGTTTCACTTTCGTTAAATCGTTTGGACAGCTCACTATCGATGACGTTCTGCAACGAATCATCTTTGTYGTCTGAATCATCAGTCTTGTTAGTTTGCTCAACATTGTTATTGGAATTTTCTGGTGCATCATTATATGTACTTACGTTATTGACGCCCGCCATATGCAACGATGACGATTTTGACGTTTTTCTGAAAAAATAGAATAAAAATCAAATGATATAGTTATATTTGATTTTATAACTAACTAAACAACCATTAGGAACTAGACAATTATTTTTTCGACAAAAAAAACATCGTAATTTCGTAATACATTATCATAATATTTTAAGTAAATGAAAAATAACAACCATAAGACAACCAACACTGAAATTATTATTTTACGTATTTTATTTCTTAATTTATACAGTTTAAAATTACCCAACTAAAGGATACAATCACTATACAATTCCACTATTAATGGATTAATAAATAATTATGTTTTTAGGTATATATAATATATATAGTATATGTAATATACCTATAGTTCTAATTTGCTTGAATTTAAATTGTATTTTTTGAGCATTTTGTACATTATACACAAATATAGATACAATAAGTATAAATTAAAATCTATAAACAATGATAATATGTATTATTAATATTATTCCAAACCATAATGCAAATCGTATCCTTTTATCCATTAATAGCTAAAAGTCGTTGACATAAAAGTGACATATTTGAAATAGTAATAATATATAAAATTATTCTTAGAGGGTTTACGACTAATAGAACTCTAGTATAGAGGAAACGGGTTTTTATCGTTATCTCTATAACCATATAGAACAATATAATACATTTAAGTCATCACATCGGCTGTATATAGACAAGTTGAAAAACTGGCTTAACAACTCTTAAGATGAAGGAAGGTTAGTGTCCAATTTTAAAGAGTGTCGACCAGAATCATTTGACAACTCTTCGAACTATATGTTTAAGCTAATGCACGCTAAATCAACAATAAATTAAGCTTTTAAGATAATACATATTATAGAAGAGTACCTAAACTTCAAAAAACTCAAGAACAAAACTATAAACTTATAAMCAATTGCGCATTTAGGGGGGAGCGAAAAGCGCAAATGCCCCAATTTGTGTTTTTTGGGGGTGGTAAAAGATTTTAACTTTTGTTAACGATGTTCATGAAATTAGAAATTASAAAAATTATTCTATATCTAGCCACTTAGGTAATACTGAAATAGCCTAATCGGTATATCACATTAAATATTCGACAAGGTTCGGATACACAGAACGCGGTCTGCGGTAGCACCCGGATATGCAAAAATAAAAACGACTCATCTATTGTTAATCAATTCGATGTGCATATAATATAGACTTGGGTAAAATACCTTTTAAAAATATTTATCGAACACTTTTTTAGATAGATTAAGTGATTTTTTTATTAGATTTTAAAAACAAAAATATTATTTTTTTCAATTCAGTGGCACAACTATAATTTATTTTAAAAGGAGGGATATTTAATAATTATATATAATTATACATTTATATATAACAGGCATACAGGCACCCATTAGTTAATTAATTATTAAAGGGAAATCCTGAAGTCATAATATCTTATTATCATCGCTAGCTCCTATTGGTACAAAATTGGAAAATAATATTACTGTCCCACTAAAAATAGTAGAAAACAGCATAATTTATTACTATAAAATATATTGTATAGAAATAAACATAAATATAAGTACAAAAGCAATTTCTAGGACGGAAAAAGAATGAAATCATTTTTAAAATGTGATTGGAGGTTACAAGGTATTCCAATTCCGAATATTGTATTTAGAATACTCCTAAAAATTATTCAAAATACCATATATTGAATACTTAAAAAATATTCCGAATATAGTTTAAGAATATAATCAAAGTCTGAATTATAATAAGTGTTGAATCCGCTTTCTAAATACAATATATATAAAATATAAAAAATACAACAACAATGAAAAGTTATTTTGTGGGAGTGATAAGTTACACAGCTACTATCGAAGTCAAACCATAAATAACATAATCATAATGTACAGTTAGAACATTTAATTTATGTTGAGTTATCTATCTGTCTTCTACACAAATTTACAATATATTTTAATATATTAATCCATAATATACATAAATTTAAACTATGAAAAATAATTTATAACAACCGATATTAATAATAATATTATTGTAATAAGTAATAGCTAATAACCAATTAACCAAGCATAACTTATAAACTAAAAACGATAGCTTTACGACACTTTTATACATCCTAAATAGTATATTATAACTTATAAGCGTACCTATGACTGATTTAAGTCATTATTAGAAGTGTTATAACTTCTGTATTTTGAATATGAAATGGTACATTTTTAGGTAGGTAGTTAGTTTCCGCGTTGGCGCGTCATATATGTATTATACCACACGGTTAAATTAAAATAACATTCTACTTAAATTCAGTTTTTCTTACCTATTAATTTTATAAATGATCTACCAATAATATTATTTTCCATGCATACCTACAGTATACACAATTAAAACCCTKCCGTCAATTATATTACAATTTTAGTAATTGTTTCGAAGTATAGTCACCAAGTATTAAATATCCGATTCAATCAACTGTTAGAAGAAAAAAAATTATAATGATAAAACATTTTCAATATTAGTTT